TTCTGGAAGCTTGAACCAAAAAACCAAAAACCCCAAAACAAAACAAAAAGTTTAATTCCTTATTGCACATACCTCCCCTGGCCCGCGGGGCTCACACCCCGCCTGTTGTTGTGTGGCAGCTCCAGGAAGGGCCCCCCATTGACTATCAGGGATCCTGCTTTTCTCCGATAAAAAACCCTCCAATTTTCAGATTTAAAAAAGTAACTCAATATCCACATTTTTCCGTGATTAAAATGAAACAACACTGCATAATGATCTGTGTATTAGCAGCATTTCATTTTAATCACGGAAAAATGTGGATTTTGAGTTACTTTTTTAAATCCAAAAATTAGGGTTTGTTTTTTTCCAGAGAAAACCAGGATCCCTGTCGATTATAGGGGGACCACTTGCAACCCTGAGCTTTGCGGCATTTGTTTTTGCTGGGAGCGCCTCCTGCGAGCTGCAGGCCACCCCTGGCATGCACCGGGCAGGCTCTGGAGAGCGCCGGGCTGGCTGCCGGGGTGCCGCGGGGCCTCTTGCGACTGCGACCCTGCTTGAAACCAGCGCTTGAAAATACAGGCCCTTCGGCACAACGACCGCCTTGCGGGGGCTTGCAGAGAGCGCCCGGGGGATGAAGGCTGGGCCGTTCTCAGGGCCGGCAGCGTCCAGGCCTGCCCCCACCACAACCAGCTAGGGCGACATTGCCGGCGCTCTGCAAGTCCCTGTGGCCCGCGCTGTCGCTGGCCCTGCCCTGGCCAATAGGGGCAGCACCAGCTTAAGCCCCTCGGCCCCCTGCAAGGGGCTGCAGGACCTGGCTCATCCTCCCTGCAGGAGCCCCCGGCCCCAGCGCTGCCCCAAGGTGCCTACCAGGGTGCAGGGGCAGCTCCACCGCCCGAGCCAGGCCCGAGCCTGTCCAGGGACCAGGAACGCTGAGACCAGACAGGTGCCACAGGGACGCGGCGCTGAGGAAGCTGGGAGCAGGCTCCCGGTGCCTGGCTGGCTTCACCACTAGGCGTCTCCCTGCCCAGCTGCCCTCAGACCTGCCTGCCCAAGGGCGGCCCACGCAGGCCTCTTCGGCCTCATGGCATGAACCCTGCCCTCCCTGGCACCATGACCCTGTGCCCACCATCAAACCCTGGCACCCAGACCTTCCTCTGAACTCCTCGTTTGCCACACGCTCTCTCAGCCTTACCCTTCTCCCATCCCCTGGCTTCGTCTGAATCTTGTCACACAAAAGCCCGTTTCAGGGCAAAAGCCTCTTCCCACAGCTCCTGATATTTGGATCAGATCTGCCCCCCACTTCCCCCTAAGTCCTCTACATCAGCATG